GTTCGAACAGCAACAAAATAATCAAGGTCTAACGCAAGAAAAAGACAAATATATGATAATTGAACACGAGCATATGTGCATCGATGATCTGGTCCACCATCTGTATAGAGACACAACACGGGTTTGTCAACAAGTTCTTCTTTAAGAAGTATGTTATACAGCTCCGTTGCATGGCGAATAGGTGAAGAAGGTTGAAAAATTGGATCTTTTAACCCAATGTGCACTTTTCCTGAATAGAAATCGCCATTAATTGATTTGGGTATGTTACATATCATTGTTACACTCAGTATGATTCCTGTTTTAGTAAAATCATAATCTGCAACTGTAAATGTAGTATCCTTACTGACCACTACTTTTTTTCCTCTCTCTACTACAGCGACTGGAAATCCAGGTTCACCAACCTTGCAACGATGTTTGTCATCTAAAAAGATTAAATTTGTGATTTCACTAAACTTTACAGCAAATTCTTTTTCATAGCGAAATAATGCTGATGCGTAATGAACATTTAGATGGTAAGCTCGTAGTTGACGTGTTTGAATCATGAACTTTAAAGGTAAGCGACCGGTGAATTGTAAACTACTAAGTTTTTTTGGATTTTTGGGCCAAAATTGTAATCGTAACCATTGTGCACTAGGGATTAGTATTTCAGGTGGACACTCACGTTTAATCTGATGCAGAAAATCATTTACTGAGATTGCGGTCGCAAGATGCACGATTGTATCATGCCTGCGTTCGTCCATAGCAATTATAGCATCTGCTGCTTTTCCTGTAAGAAATTGATCTGCAATTCTCCAGAAGATATTATATTTATTTGGTCTTCCATTACCGTGTTCACGTAAATCGATGGTAATGTCTGGATCTTCAAGTTTCAGAGCGAGTCTAACACGTTCATCAACTTTTGCTTCGTTTTCAGTTTCAGCTGCAGAGATATCACCTGTTAACATTTGGTAGATTGTTTGAAGTGCTGATGGCTTGGCCTTTGGAAGAAGCAGATCACATGTATGTAAATAATTTATTCACATTGCTCGTGTATGATAACGAGACGCGTCAGCTTGCAATTTATTTACAATCCACATATTCTCTTGCAACACTAACATTTCATTAGCTTGTTCGTTGATTTTCCAGATTAAGATTGCGTTAAAAGAATTATTTCCAGAATTAAATTGATATTCTCCAATCTTAAAAGGAAATGCATAAGATAAGCCCTGGATATAACGCATTCTTTGTTTATAATAAATTGTTTGTTAGTTAGATTTCTACACTAACAGTCTTAACAATATTATTTCTGCTACTTACACAGGATTAGTTGGTAGGTATTCTTCAATATCAACTAGTTCCCACGATGATAAATCAGCGAGCAAGTATTTGAGATGATAGTATTTGGCTTTGTCAGCAGGCGTGATCCAAATGTTTTGGTTATGGATTTTAATTGTTGTGGCTTGGTCAACAGTTTGTATAGGAGTTTCCGATGCATGATTCACAGCAGCAATATCGCGTTGATGTTGCAGAAACCCTATATAATTCGAAATGGCAATAATGAGATTGTCAAATGCATCACGGAGCCAATTAAAATTTGTCATCAACATCTATGATGATGTAGCATGTAGAGCAAGAGTTTGGTAATGTAGATTTAGTTCGTTTACATCAAAGGATTTTTGCGATTGCTTGTATGATTCCGGGTTTACATAGTCAAAAAACTCAAGAAAAAGTTCAGGTATGTGATAATTCCGCTTTTTGAGTTTCTGGTGATTACGCATATCAATATACCAAATCATTTCAGTCAAGCTAATTATAAATTGTTTCCCTTGTGTATTCACATATGATTGAGTGGACCATCCTCCACCATGACGCTAAATCCAATCAACTAGATCATTACGCAATTTTTGCTTATGATTTGACTTTTCTGATTGTAAAAAGGTTGGCAAGTGCAATTGGGTTTGGCGTGCATTTTGCATTAGGATCATAAGGCTGTTTTGCTGTAGTATCAAATTAGGAATTACGTCATCAGTTTTGAGTTGATAATGTATATTTTTTCCTATATTTGTCGTAAGTTCCATAATATTACAATTAAGGCTGACTTGAGTTGTAATTGCAGTTGGTGTCTCGCTTATTTCAACACGATCTATGATCTCAGAATTTGTTATAACAATATTAGACTCAGGAGACAGTTCTCTAGTTATAAGTTTTTTAAAAAAATCCTTGATTGTCATTTCATAAGGAATAGGATGGATATATCATCTATGAAGATTTTTTGACCCTTTAGTGATGCGAATATTTGCGAATGGCATTTTTTGCTGAATTACAATAAAATATTTGTTGAAAGCTTAAAGGAAAGATTATTTTAACGTGTTTATACCTCTTTTGAATTTATATAATCAAATTTGTTACGCGTTTTTAATCTCTTTTAGGGACGCAGTTAGGAAAGGAAAGTTGTTTTAGAGGCGCAGTTAGAAAAGGAAAGTCTCTTTTAGGGGCGCAGTTAGGAAAGGGAAAGTCATTTTTAGGAGCGCAGTTAGAAAAGGGAAAGTCACTTTTAGGAACGCAGTTAGGAAAGGGAAAGTCGTTTTTAGGGGCGCAGTCAGAAAAGGAAATCACTCAGGAGTACAGTTAGGAAAGGAATGCTAACGATCTTTGATTCTTTAAAAGTATAAATTCATACAGAATTTAGTTAACTGAAGTCATTTAAATAAATAGAATTGGTTTATTGTGATAATATTATTGAATAGAACAGGTTAGATCAAACCATTCAAATATCGCCCAAAAGACAACATCGTTCAAGACAATAAACAAGATAATTATAATTGTATAATCATTTCATTAATGAGGAAATATTGAATTAACAACTTTACTTTTTTCTTTTTATTAAACTTGATTTGACTTTTTTATTTTTGATAATACATGTAATAGTCTATTATATGAATGCGCAGAACAAAAAATATAAAATTTTAACCGGGTAGCCGGGTTATGAAACAATAAAAATGTTTAAAAAATTTTTTTCTTTTAAAAGCAAAAATCTGGGTGGCCGGGTCATACAAAGTTAACTTTAGATATGTAAACCAATTTTATTACTTTGTATCGCCTAACTTTTAACATTTTTCTTATAATAAATAAATTCATTACAAACTATAATTAACCAATCAATTAATCCTATTTATTATTAACTTATCATATAACTTATCATTATTCAAATTGCAATATTATCATAATAATTTTATTAAAAAAAAAATATTAATTAAATATTATAACAAAAAGATTTATTAATTACATTTATGATATATAAACTACATCATTAACAGAAAAATAAAAACGATTTTTTTAGAACTAACCCTAAATGTAACATTATACAACATACGATTTTGTAATACTTCAGTTTAAAAGTACAGGGAGAAAAAAAAATATTGGCTAGTTATAAAATTAAAATAATCGGGTATATTAATATATGTTACACAGCTGATTTATGTTCCTCTTCAAATAAGGTATATGTTCATAATTTTGTCGATAACGATAATCGTTAGCTATTTCTCCATCAACTGTCTCAGGTAATAGGGAACGTCAATTAGATAGATAAGACATGCACATACTGTATTATGTAAAAAAAAAAAAAAATTAAAAAAAGTAAAATAACATATTCTATTGTCATTTAGATTTTTTCTGAAAGGTTGTATGTAATGTAAAGAGAAAACATCTAAAAAAATTATCAAACGTCTAATTTAATTGATGACGTACGTATGTCGATCTGCCTGATTTATTTTTATAAATAGTCGATAATACCCACAAAAAAAATTTCATGTAAAGTTAACCTTTCAGATTTTTTTTTTTCATCTTATATTTCTGTTTAATATAACGCGCGTTATAAGATAATGCCGAAGATTCATAGCATAGCAATTCGAGGAATTCGTTGTTTTAGTCCTTCACGATGTAATGAAGTGAATTTAGACCAGCCTCTTACTCTAATAGTTGGTGCTAATGGTTCTGGGAAGACAACCATAATAGAGGCTTTGAGATATGCCACCACTGGTTTTTGTCCACCAGGCACTTCAAAGGGGAAGACTTTTGTAATGGACCCTACGATATATGAAGAAAATGAAGTTAAAGCTCAAATCAAACTTGAGTTCACGGGTATAGAAGGACAGGAAATTGTTGCTACCAGATCTATGTCCATGAAACTGAAAAAGACAACAACAGTATTTCAAACGCTTGAATCTTTGCTGGAAATAATGGATAATGTATCATCGACTAAGATAAGCCTTACGGGTCGCTGTGCAGAATTAGATTCGGTAGTACCTATACACCTCGGTGTTTCTCCTGCTGTCCTTGATTTTGTTATATTTTGTCATCAAGATGAATCTCTATGGCCATTATCTGAACCGTCGATATTGAAAAAGAAATTCGATGAAATTTTTGAATCTGGTAAACTTTCTAATATTATAACGGACATTAAAAAGGACAGGAAAACACTGGCTGCAGCATTTAAGGAATGCAAACTAGTTTTCGACCACTTGATGAAAGAACGTGAAAGGGCCGAGAAAATACAGAGAAGAATTAATCAAAATAAAATAAAGGTTGAAGAACTTTCTCGAAAAAGAGATACTTACGAACTTCAATTAAATAATGTTTCTCAAGAAATTGGAGAATTATTAGCAACTATTAAACGATTAAATCAAACAGAAGCGGAGCTAAATATAATGATTAATGAAAAGAAACAAAAGGAGAAAGCTCTGGAGAGTTTAAAAAATAGAATGATTGAATCTCATGAATCTGATGAAGTATTAGACAAACTCATAGATAAATTCGATAGTAATCTAAGAGATCAGCAAGCAAACATCGAAGATTGGAAACAACAAATAGAAAAGCTCGAGTTTAATATTAAAGACTTACAATCTTCTCTGACCAAATTATCTTCCAAGCAAATGCACCTACAAGTCGAATACTCGGCCCATGAAAGACGACTTGCTGACCGAAATGATTTAATGCAAAAGATCAGTCGTGATTGTCAATTTTCTAACATGCTATCTGCAATTTCCGCTGAAGAGAGTATGCAAAATTTAAAATCTTTGCTTCAATCTTCAATCGAGGAAAAGAAGAATAAATTGGAAGATGAAAGAAAACGATTGCAAAATGAAGAACATTTTTTAACTGATAGATTAAGTGATTTTAAAACAAGGGTCAGCTCTTTGAAGCAAACTAGGGATTATACTACAAGATCAAAAGAGTCTAATAAATCCAAAAAATTTCGGCTCGAATCAGAGATTGAAAAGATTTGTCAAGTATCTGATTCTGATTTGAAATTTATCGATGCTTCATTAGAAACGGTTAAATCAGAACTCAAAAAATTTGAACAAGATGATTTAATTAATGAAATTTCTAAGAAAATCGATTCAAAGCAATCTGAATATAATGAGATAGATCTAAAGCTCTCCCGTCTTCAAGAATTGTCGACTAATCAAGCTAAATTGGAATATAGGCGATCAGAGAAACGTAAAATAACATTAATGCTTCAGTCTACATGGGAACCGTTGACTTTTAAACTCTCGGAATTGCTGAATAAAGATCCTAATCTGGAATCACTTGAAAAGGAATGGGATGATCGAATGAATTTGTGTAAAAATGAAAACAAAGGACTAGAACAACAAAGAGATTTAGTCGACTTAAATTGCTCTAGAATTCAAGCAAAAATTGAAATGATGAAATCGAGTATAGAAACAAAAAGCCGAGATTTGCAAATCCATTTACAGAAAGTAGGAGAAGTTTGTGGTGAAGAAGAATATTTAACATCTTTAAAAGAAGCCGAAGATCAGTTGGAACATAAACAAAATGAAATGAATTTATTTTATGGCACCTCAAATATATATGAGCACTATGCGAATTGGGCAGAGAAGGAAAAAAATTGTCCATTATGTCATCATTCATTCACAGGTATAGATAGCTTAAATGATTTCATTAAAAGGCTAAGGAATTTTGTAACAAATCTTCCTGAAGAACAATTAAACCAAGAACGAAATTTAGAAACTATTAAAACAAGGTGTCAACGTCTTCGTGGACTGCAGCAAGATTTTATTGCTATCAGACGGTTAAAGTCTGAAATATCTGACCTGAATCAGATGATTGAAAAACAAGCACAGGAATATAGTGAGTACAAGATTCAACTGGATGAAATTGATGCCAAGTTAGCTTTATCTCAAGAAAACATGTTCAATTTTTTGGAACTGGACAAAGAAGTACAAGATGCCATTAAGCTGAAAGCTAATTTAAGTAGTCTTGATAAAGAAATTAATAATCTTGAGCCTTATATGAGAGCTTCGAACGATTCTAAAAACAAAAAAGATGAATGGCGAGAGAAAGCTATAGTGCTGAGGAAGGACATTAAAGAACTGAACGAGATTCGTGATAGCCGAAATCGAGAAGAAAAAAATTTGCGGGAACGTTTGCATAAATTGGAAATGGATAAATACAAAAAACAAAATGATTTTGATAATCGCAGTCAAATTCAGGAGCAAATTGATGAATTAAATAAAAACATGATCCTTCAAGAACGTGAACTATCACCATTATTCGATCAAATCACGAATTTAGATAATGAAATTAGAGATATGGCGGCTGAATTACAAGAATTTCGTACGCGTAAATCTGAATCGGAAGATGCGATTATGACAGATCTCAATAAATTACAGACATTCCACGAGAATTTTACTAAAATTGAACGAGAAATCATTGAATATGTTCATAGTGGTAAACGAGAAGGATTGGATGAATGCACGGAACAAATTAAAAGAATACAGCAAAGTACCACAGAAAAAACGAATAATTCTAACGAGTTGAAAGCAAAATTACACCAGTTGGATTTGAACATTGGACAAACGCGTCAAGCAAAGAGAGACTTACAAGATAACCGCGATTATAGAAATCTGAAAGTTGAAATCGAAAACCTTCAAATAAAAATAGAAGATCTTCGTCAGCAGCTGGAAAGTCAAGGTTCAACCAATTACGTTAAAAGGGAAGATTTTTTACAAGCTGAACGAACTAGAATCTCTTCTGAAATTTCAAGTATTACAGGGAATATGGAACAGATAAGGGTTACAATTAATATTGATCGCGATGATCTTGAAACGCAATATAAGAATATTAAAGAAAAGTTCAAAGACCAATGGGCATTAAAGCATGGAGATCAAGAGGCAATAGCTGAGATCGATAGGTTAATAAGTGAATTAGATAACATATTAATGAATTACCATACGAGGAAAATGCAGGAAATCAACTCTAAGATTGACGAATTATGGGGGGAGGCTTATAATGGGGATGATATCGAAAAAATCGAGATTCGTTCTGAGCAGGAGAATGCACAATATAATAGATCATATAATTACAGGGTTGTTATGCAGAAAAATAGCAAAATACTTGACATGCGTGGAAGATGCAGCGCTGGTCAAAGGATGTTAGCTTCAATTATTATTCGAATGGCTCTAGCAGAATGTTTTAGCAAGGGTTTCGGCATGTTTGTTCTTGACGAGCCAACTACTAATTTGGATGAGAACCATATTAATAAATTGGCCACTAGTTTAAGATGGTAAATTTTTTCTTTTTCCTTGTTTGGTCATTATTCGTTTTAATATTTAATTGGAATTTTTATTTTACATTTATAATAAATAGTATTGTGGAAAACCGTCGTAATGAATCAAACTTTCAGTTAGTTGTCATCACTCATGATGATAAATTCGCGGAAAAGCTAGGCTTGAGAGAATTGTCAAATTTTAAATATCGCGTGGAGAAAATTGAGAATGGGCTCTCCACGATTGTTAAATTGGATCACAATAATAATCGTCTTTAAATATTAATCTCAATTTATACTACGGGTTATCATTGTAATTTTAGAAATATTTTAGTTTGGGGTTACGTGACCGACTTGTTCATTTCTTGTCTCTTTCTAATTAATCTCTTAATTGTCTCGTTCTTCGCTTTTTTCATAAATAATAAAGCAATAACAGAGATTCTATTTTAGTTTTTATGTTAGGATTATTTCTAAGATCCAAATTGAAACAAATAATTTAAATTGTAAACCAGAAACATTAGTTTTTTCAAGTTTGCTTTAATTCGATTATATTTGATTCTTATTCAATTAATAATAATTTGCAACTCGGGATGATATTTCTTTTAAGTAGAATCCTACATTTTCTTCGGGTGACGTTGCTCAATTGCATCAAAATGATTGAATCGAAAGTTAATATCACGTTGCGCAAAAATATGCATGGATCACGTGTAAAATTATTGTAATATATCGGACAATTATATAAAACATTTCGTTTCTCTCTCAAAAGTCGCGTTTGCAGATATTAAGAATATTTAATAAGTTTAATTTCAATATGGAAAATACGGATAACAGCATGGAGATTACAAACGATAATGAAATGACTGTACAACAGGCGGTGTCTTCAGTTGTGTCAAATGCTCCCAACAATTCTGGTTTAATGGTCGCTTTGTGAGTACAAGAATACAGAGAAGAACTGAATTACTTTGTGGTAATTTTTCTAACGACAGAATGTCCGTTTAGACACCCTTTGACATTGTTAAACATATCTGAACATTTTACACGTGTAAGGATGCAAGAACAAATACAGAGTCCACAGGGTTTGTATAGAATACTAACTATACTTTAATTTTTTTAACTCGTTATTAATCGAAATTTATTTTTTTTCTATAGTTATTGGAGCGATGGTAGGTACACAAACGGGACGTGAAGTAGAAATTACCAATTCATTTGAATTAGCATTTGATGTGGTTGATGGAAAAGTGATAGTAAATGGAGAGTATTTTACAACAAAGCAAGAACAGTGTAGGTCTACTAAAATTCTGTGTTCATAAAAAAAAATTTCAAATCTAATTTGATTCATTAATCGATATGAAATTATATAGTTCGTCAGGTTTTTCCTCAGTTTGATTTCTTGGGATGGTATACTTTGGGACGATATCCAACTGAAGATGACATCGAAATTCATAAACAGGTATAAAGAAACAAAATTGATTAATATCGTTTAAATATACATTATAAACCTATCTTTATATTTAGATGATGACATGGAATGAAAGTCCTCTTTTTCTTCAAATGAACCCTTTTGATATTGTCACATCGAAGAATTTACCAATCACTGTTTATGAATCGATTATTGACCTTATAAATGGACAAGCTCAAACAATGTTCATCAAGTCACAATATAAGATTGAAACCGGTGAAGCTGAACGTATTGCCGTCGACCATGTTGCTCATACAACTCTTGGAGAAGGCGGTGAAGGTTCTTCACGTAAGAGGCAACTTATCGATCTTTAACAGAAAGGTTTTATTTCTTTTTTAATCATTATTTACGTTTTTTATTTAGTAATTGCACATTTAACAACCCAAAGGAATGCAATTAAAATGTTACATACTAGAATAAAGATTCTTCATCAATACCTTGTCAATGCAAAATCAGGTATCTGTATTATATGATTATTTAAGCCTAATAAATAAATATATTTACTAATTTATATATATATATATATATTAGATGAATCATTTGTTGATCATGATGTTCTTCGCCAGATTGCTGGACTTTGTAATCGATTGCCAACCATTGATAGTGCCGATTTCAGACAAGAATTCCTCACGGTTTGTGATGTTTCTAAAATATTTATGAATTTTTTTTTTTTTGGTTCGGTTTATTTAGCGAATGGCTTATGTAAAAGTTATTTGTGTAGGAATACAATGATGTTTTATTAACATCATATCTAGCAACTATAACCAAGGGAACTAATTGCATTAATGAGGTGTGTATATAATTATGGAACATTGTGATATTTTTTTTTTATTAACTTTTCTTTTTCTCCTAGCTTGTGGACAAGTTTAATATTGCAACCAGTACCAATAAACCAGGAGGACGTGGCAGACATCAACAACATCAGGGATTCCCAAATTTTTAATATTAGAAATTTCAGTAAGTTTTAAAGATGTGATATTCATGTTAAATATGTTCTTCATCAAATAATTTAATAATTTTATTTTTTTTTATTATTATTATTATCATTACAAGCTAACAGTTTTTGTTTAACTAAAATGATGCATTTTAATGAATAAAAAATGTTAATCAAGTAGAACAATACAACATGAAGTTTTTTTTTTTTTTTAGAAGAATTGTTTTAAATTATATATACAAAAAAAAATTTTTATTGTCATTGATCACCAGGATTTACCAACCTATAATATTTAAGATGGCTGTTAAATAAAGTCAATATCTTTAAAATAACATAATTAACTTACACATTTTTGTACACATGATTTGAAATCAAGAAATTCTTTATGACAAGCATTATGGTGAATAGAATCAAGTTGAGAAGTTACACATTTTGCATATGTTGCGGCCTTTAAGGTGTAAAAATTTGCGTGATTTGTTTCGATGAAAAAAAAAAAAAAAAAAAAAAAAAAAATGGTAGAAAAAAAAAAATTTTCTTGTTCATATTGCTTTACCTGTAAAGAACATTTTGATACAGCTTTGGCAAATATTGCAACGGTAGTTTTCTCCTTTACTGGCATTAAAAATATATTTTTGACGGATGAGATTAAATATAATAATTTATGACTGAAAATATGAGATGACAATTCACGTGATGCGTGGCACAAAACAATAAAGTAATGCCAAGTAGATCAAATTTCAATTATTTACCTCTTGGTTCGACAATAGGACCTTAAAAAGGTTGATTGATTGTCGGACTAGAATAATGTCAAACGTCATGAGTTATATCACAAATAAAACCTGACCAAATAAAGTTATCAGGAATTATAACATAAATGTAACTTTAATTTTATAAAATTGATTGCATATGAAGAACCAAATTTATTAATTTTATTGAAACGCGATTTTTTTTTTTTTAATTCATTCATTTAGGCAAAGCCAAGCTATAATCTCACTAGGATAAAATTTTTTTTTTTAAATGACCACATTATCTTGTTTGTTTCAGAAGAAACAATAGGAATCACCTTTTTAACTGGAAATTTTTGCGCCATAAAAATAAGAGACTTGAAAATAAAGTTTTTCTGATAAAATAAATAATCTCATCTTATCTTAAAATTAAGATAATTTTTTAAAGTTTAATGAAAAATTTAATCCTAAATCAACAATGGGGGAAAAGAACAATCAAGCATTTTTTTTAAAAAAAAAAAAAAAAAAAAAAAAAAATGTCACATTTTCAAAAAGGATTGGGGGCAATGCTGCGCATACATGAGAATTCGATTTTTTTTTTTTTCCAAACGGACCCTAAAAATTGTAAAGGGTCTTGTTTATGATAAACAATTAATTTTAAAAAATGTTCACCAATGTCAAATTGTTTTTCATCAGATGCGATACAGTCACAGCATTAATTGGTGGCGGTATCACACCGAAAATACTGTTACCTTTCGTTTGAACGGTATACGAATATATAAATAATACTTCCTAATTAAGAATTTCCTTTGAGGCAAACATCTAGCCATTCATCGAAAGCATGAAAACGTAATATGCATGTAACATGACTATCGGAAACATTTGATTTCTTTTTTCTTTTCTTTTAATTATTTTATTTAAATTTTTTTTTTTAAAAAAAAAAAATTACAATACATGAGTTGCGGAGCGCACAGGTCATAATTAATATTATATATTAGTTATCACAGTATTCCCTTGAATTTCCCGGTTTTTTTAAAAAAAGAATGTCTTACAGATATGAGATGTCAAACGAAAGATTTCAGAATTTACTATTTTTGTTGTCATTGAAAAAAGGTATGCACTCCACCTTTAATGAGCAGATGGATTTAATAAAGTTTCATGAGTAGCTACATTTTTCCTTTTCATTTCAAGTAATAGCAAAGTTCCTTTTTTGCCTAATTCTAGTCAACTTTTGAACATTTATCCAATGAACATCCGTAAATGGCCAGATACGTGCATTTAAAACTAATTTTTAACAAAGAAGTTTTGATTATTAAAATAATAATTATGATCAATCAGGATATTTAAGGTAAAAGGAATAATCGGATTGATTGTGTAATACATCAATAATATGGTAAAACTTTCATGATCACCGGAGAGAATCAAGGCTCCTTCAAGCAATGCCCGGTCCCCTTGACGAAAGCATTTTTCGTGTAATTAAATTGTCTTGATTATCGATTTATCATATCTGACGCTTCAAAAGAAGGGCATCAAATTCTCTAATAACAGTACAACATCCTTTTTAATATTAATTTATGTTGATAAAGTTCATGATTTTTTGCCGAATTCCTAAATAAATTGGTGTTGAAATTTTCAAACTACTTTGGCATACGTTTTTATAATTAAAATTATTTTACATAACCTTTCTTACCTTGGCGTCTGATTCAAACATTTTTCGTTCGTTATATTTTTTTTACGATCTCTTTTCCTGTTAACCGTTTTGAGGCATCAAATTTAATTTTTAATATTTGAAATTTTTAAGCTTATTAAATGAAAACCACTTTTTGATGAGATAACTTTATTTGGTCAGGTTTTATTTGTGATGAAACTCATGACGGTTGACATTATTCTAGTCCAACAAATCAATCATCTTTTTGTTTGGAGAGTCGATAATTGAAAAACTTGATCTACTTGGCATTACTTTTTTGTTTCAAGCGTCACGCATCACGTGAATTGTCATCTCATATTTCAAAGTGACACACGAGTGCACGGATCCGAAATCCAAATCCTTGGTACCATAATTGATATCAATAATCACAGAGACAACTTCTTTCAAATTTCATCGTGCGTAAAGTTCACCTTTTTTTTTTTTTATTCTCCTCCATGTTATATATATATATATATATATATATAAAAGAACATCATCTTCCCGAACGAAAAACAACTAGGGAGTTTTTTTATTTCTTTTTTTATCTTGCAAAGAGGTAATGTTTACCACAATATGTCTAAATTCGATTCATTACTCTAAACATATTTATTCATAACAGGTTTTGTAACAAGAAAATTCCTCAAACATTTCTCCTATTTAAAGGATTTCTATTGATTTACTTGATTTGGAACATACATTCTTTCTTTAAACAATATGTTAATTATATCAATATTTTTTTTTTTAGGTGATATCTTCGAAATAAAAAAATCTGTCATAATAGTAAAATAATTTAATACAATGAACCTTGTAATATATTTACAATAAGTAGAAAGATCCTTTTTTGACACCCAAAATTTCAATATTACCTTTGTTCTTTCTTTTATTTCATGCAAATTTCAAATGATATCACCTTTATTTCCTTAACACATACACAATCATCATCGTCATTCTAGTCATTATATTGATCCTGTGTAACGGAAGGCAAACTATCGTTTAAATCCTTTTTGTTTGAAATAAAAAATAATAGAACAAGTTTTAAAAGAGAAAATTTTCAATAAATCTTCCTTACGCCTTCTAGGGTTAACAAAAAAAAATATTTTTAATCTAAAAAAAACCGAAGGGAATATCAATAGAATAAAAAAAAAAAAAACGTGGTTCTTTTTTTTTTTTTTTTTTTTAAGAAAAAAAAAATAGGTTTCAAACCTCTTCATAAAAAAAAAAAGTTTTTTTTCTTTCGCTTTAGAAATTAAAGGAAAAAAAAAAAAGTTAAAATTTAAATAATAAAAAAGCAAAAAATTTTTCTTTTAAAAAAGTAAAATAAAATATTCTTCGAGAGTGGTTTTCGCCCATAAAAATAAGTCTTTATACTTCTACCGCCAAAAAATACAAATCGAAATAAACAGTCGAAAGGATAACCTTCTTCCCTCCCTTCCCCCTTTTCCCCTTTCATAAATATTAATATCACGAAATCTTTACTTACACTTACCTATAATTAATACTTAAACACTTCATCTTAATAAAATGGAAGAAGAAACAACATATAATCATATGACAGAAGAAGAATCTAACGAAGAAACGTTACAAAATGGTATAGAAGAAGTAATAACAGTGGACCAAGAGTTCGCTGAAAAGCAAAAGGTATTTCAAGAAACGATCAATACCTTACAACAAAACTTGGAACTGCAATCTACCACTACCGATAATATAGGCGACCCTCTCGAAGAATACTTTAAAATCATTAAAGCTTTATCGTCTTGGATGACGAATACCGTTACTTCAACTCTATCTTCCTCCCCCTTTTTACCGTTAACCACCTCACTCGTAACAGATCTTGATACTCTAAATTCTTTTGAGGAAACCTTGTCAAAGATAGAGATCGATATAATAAGTAATAAACAAATCGAATATAATCAACTCTCCACTCTTTCAACGACGTCCGATTCATTCTCTCAATTATTTTCCACTTTTGATTCCTCATGGCAAACGTTTAACTCTTTAATAAAATTAGGAAAGTTAAAATTACAAGAAATAAAATGGGTAATAGAATTAAAGTCAAATGTTGAACAAGTTGAGGTTGAGATCAAAAAGGTTGAAGCCATGTTGGAAGGTGTTGAAGATTCTAGGAAAAAAAATATTGATGATGGTGGTGGTGGTGATGGTGGTGGTGGTGGTGGTGTCAACAGTCTTCAGGGTAGCATTAATAGTATAAATTTTGATTCGTCCAGTGACGTCACAGTAACCGGCATTGTCTTTTCATCGTCCCTGTTAGATGAATGGTATACCAAGGTTGTCGCGGTTGAGGAATTGGTTCAAGATGTGAACGCAAAGGTTAAAGATGTTACAACCCAGCTAAATCATGAAAGGTTTCGTGCACCAGATGATTTATTTGATCATATAAATCTTATAATTAATAATAATGCACCCGAGTTGAAGAGCAAAATTGCCGCCACTAAGCAAGCTTTGGCTCATGATCGTCATATAGGAAGGTGGTTTGATGGGGCCAATGAAGCTGACAAATGGATTCGTGATACTTTGAATCGGGTAAAAGAGTTAGAAGTTCCTGATTTTATTAATAAGCATGAATGGTCCGAAGAGGAACAAAATCTTGAATCGAAAATCGCCGAGAGAAGAAAAATGATTGAAGAGCTTCCTCTAGATTCGGAATCTAATATCATTGATGACCTTGAGACAAAAGCAAATGAAATCATATCTAACATTAAAGACTCAAATGATACTGAAGATCAAGCCGTTATTGAATTAATGACAAAACAATTAAAAAATCTCAACGAACGTTTAACGAAATTAAATGATTTCATTACCCTTCTTTTATCACAAACTACTACCGAACGTTATTCCATAGTATTAAAATTACTCAACACCATGCAAGGAATGCGCAATCAAATGACTCAAATAAGGAAAACTATTCTTGAACATAATGATGCTGATTTAGTTGCTAATGATGTCAAGGATGTAGAAAATCAAATCTCTAATTTTGAAGAGGAACTTTTAAATGATGACTCGGTTCTCGCAAAAATTTTACGTCAAAAGCATGCTACATTACTCCTTACCATTCAAAAAATTCGTGTGGCTTTAGCTGAAAATAAACTTCAAATGGCCGCTTACCTAAGTCCTTCCTCTCCTACTTCTGGTTCGGAATTTGATCGATTAAAGGTCGTTATACAAGATCGTTTAGAACTTTTTTATTCGCGTTTAGTCACTCCCCCAACTTATATGATTGAAACTGATAATGAAAATGAAGAACCTGAACGTATACATGGTCTCACTTGTAATGATGATCACGTTGCAGAACTCACCGATCGTTACTCTTACATTGAATCCGAATTAATCACTTTTGAAAGGACTTTATGGGTTGAATTTTGGTTTAAAAGTGATCCCTCGAAAAAAGCTCGCAGTGATGAATTGGTTGATAGTTTGGAGAAAAAATTTAACGAAATCAAAGTTCTCATGAAAGATAGGAAAAAGGACCTGATGACCATTAAAGAAGGGAGAGAATTCGCAATAAGTGTTCATGCTATACGCGATCAACTTGATTTGGTCAAAGGGAAGATGAGGAGAGGTGATACGACCATTGACGCTTCTTTACAAGAATTGGATGATCATATGGTTGAAGCTTCATCATTAATCCATTCATTAAAACAATCTTATAGTAATTTCTTATCTTCAGAAGCTGAGGATCAAAAATATAAAGAAGCGTTTGATGAACAATTAAGCCAGCATAAACTTGTAAAGGGTTGGATTGAAGAAGTACGTGTTTGGTTGAGGGAAGCTATACGTATACGTGGTTGGATGAACGAACGTGTAGAAATTTTACAAAATGTACCTCAAGTGGATCCTTTTCAAGAAGGGGGAGCTCCCGCTACTCAAGAACAAGTAGATGAATGGCAAAAGGAACATGATGAATTAGAAAGGGAGGTTGAAAAGTTTGACTCTGGAGATGTCACTCGTTTAAGAGCTCATGTTAAAGGTATGGTAGGAAGCACCACCGATAACACCGATGAAATGTCTCCCGCTGATGCCATGACGATTGCAATCACCTTTGAAACTTTGAAAGTTCTCGATCAATTACTTGGAAAGTTAAGAGTTCGTGAAAATGAATTGGCTCTTTTAGCTTTACGCGTGCAATGGGAACGTGAATATGGTAATGCAATGAATTCTTGGAATATATTAATCGATGAAATTAATGATTTCATTACTAATCATGGTAGATGGAAACCTCCAATTTTCTCTGAAGATGATGGTTGGTTTACTAGCGATAATCAACTTGGTCAAAATGATGTTACTCTAGAATCACAGCAAATCTATGAACGGTTGGTAGATTACATAAACAATATAATACCTCCCACAACTGATATTTTTGATGAGTTATTGGATACTTCTCTTGTAGAGCTACCCGAACATTTACTTGAAAGACAGGAAAAAATTGAAGAAAGCGATAAAGCATACTTGGAAGAATATTTTGATTTTGCTAAAGATGTTTTGACCCAACGAAAGCAAGTTTTAGATTATGTTCATGAAGTGGACTTATCTCATGTGGATGGAGTTAAATTAAAGGACGAATTAGTTCTCGAGGAATCTAATCCACGTGGTGGTTCTGTAGAAAAGAAATTTATTGCCCGTGTAATCGAGCTTAACAAACGCGCAGAAAAATCTTGGAATTCAATGGCCCAACAAATTCTTTATCCCAATCATGAAAAACATAATGAATCAGAAAATGAAGTAATAAAGCAAGCGGTCGTAGCTTATAATGAAAAATTAAAGGTGTTGCTTGGAGAAACCGATGAAGCCTTGAAAAATTATCAACGCGCTCTTAAACTTGTAGAAACAGCAAACGAATGTAAAAAAGAAGCTGATCGTTTGGAAGCTTGGATTGCTAAAAAGGACGATTACGTAAACAAACGTAAATTTGATGTTTTCCAAGAACCTTGTAAATTCACTTCTCAAGATATTGACGATTACGTCACCTCAAATGCTCAAATTGCTGTTGATATCCATAATTTCGATGAAGAAGAGTTAAAAGATTTACGTCAAAAAGTTGCAGCTTTAATTTCGGAAGTCAAAGCTATTGGAACAAAATGCGTCAACACTGATGAGTTGGAAGGTATAATGAAAAATCTTGATGATAAGTTGAATGGACTTCGTGATGATTTTCAAGTTTTACAATCTCGTGAACCCGATGAAGTCGATGCCGCTAATAAACGTCTCATATGGGAAGATTCTCTAAAGAAATCAAATCATTTTCTCGATGATACAACAAAAGAATCAAAAGCTTTTATTACTTCAAAAGCAACATGGAAACCCGAAACTCCGGAAGATACATCCGCACATGAAATGCTTAGTCAAGAATATTCATCCCTTGAAGGAAAAGTTAAAGATTTCATATCCAGAGAGATCGTTGATCACAAATCAAATTACGATGCATTCATTGAAGCTAGTGAAAAGTTGGCTGATAAGGATCGTCGTAATCATATTGAAACTCGTCAATCTAAGCTTGAATCTACTGTTGATAACCTTAATGAATATGTGTCATTCGCTCATGATCTTTTGGAACAACGTGCTGCTGTTGTTGAATATATGTCCGAAGCAACTAAATTGGACAATAATGCAGTTGAAATTAAGAAAAATCTCATTGAAGCCGAGAAAAATGTGTCAAAAGGTCCAAGTGAACTTGATTTTGAAAACCAATTAAAAGATTTCAATCAAGATATAACTGCTTTATGGGATGAACGTGGTTCAAAATTACCTTATCCTGCAAGTCATATTATGGATGAAGTAAAAGTCACAAAGAACACCGTTATAGAAGCAGCCGCTCAAAAACGTTTGTCTTCACTAGAATCTGCGAGAGAAGAATTAGATAAGTTATACGAAACTTATCAAACCTCCTTGGCACTTCAACAACGAGCTAACGAATATATCAATGATTCTTCTCGTATGCAAGATTGGATTTCAGAAAGACGAAAGAAACTTGAAGAAAATAAGGTCGACCCTCTTGCTGAAGATTGTCCTTGGAATGAACCTGAGGTTCAAAAAATGCAAGAGCAACATGAAGAATTCCTTAAAGAAAATACAAAAGTTGATGTTGAAGATCTAAGTCAAATTCGTCGTAACCTTGAAACCTTACTTGAAGATATCAAAAAAGCCAATTGTAAGAGTGTTGATCAAAAACCACTTCGAGAAGCATTGGAGGAACTCAATAAAAAGTTTGGGGAACTTCAATCAGAATCTGCTTCACACCAATTGGATCTTTCTGTATTACAAAGTCGTGCTAAATGGGAAGATCAGTATGGTCCTGGCTTAAGCTCGCTTGATAAGCTAACTAATCAAGTTGATGAATTTATTTCCGAGAGAGCAAGATGGTCACCAGAAAAAGCAAATCCAGAAACCGATTTACATCAAGAATTTATCGATTTAAAGCAAAAGGTTTCAGAATTTGAAGAGAAGCCCTTAACTTTAACAAAATCATCATATAATGATATGTTATCTTCTATCAAAACTTACCTATCAAAACAACCTCCTAAACACATTTCCGACCGTCAACTTGATTTTACTGAACGTTTCGAAAACCTTACTAAACGCGAGGATTTAAGTAAACAAGTTTTGGAACAAAGAGATGCTACAAATTCATTTATAAATCAAGCAAACTATTTAGAAAAGGAAGGCGAATCATTAAAAGAACAATTGAAATCTGCCGAAGAAAGTGGTACAGTAGACCCCAGCCTTACTGAAAAACTGGTAGCCTATAAAGGTTCCTTGGAAGATTTGGAAAAGAATTTTGCGGGCAAAATTTCTTACCCCATAGATTCCCTAGCCACTGATGACGTCAATGCGCCAATAAAACAGGTTGTTGATGCTCGTACGGAAGACCTTGCTCATCTCTCCAAGGAGCTTGATGAGTTATTAAAATCTTATCAAGATACAATGAAGCTTTCCGAACAGCTCGAAAATGCACTTTCAAAAGCTAAACAACTAGGTGATGAATTTGATAGCTTCATTTTCGATAAAGCTGCATGGCAACCTCAAGAAGGTCTTGTAGATATGAAAGATTTGTTGGCCGAATTAGATGATATTAACGAGAAGGTTGCCGAGTTCGATAAAAACACCGTTATACCTGTTAATGATAAAGTTGGTGATTATGAAAAGTTAATGGCTGAAAAAGAAAAGGTTGTACCAGAACACATAGGAGACAAATATAATAAATTGAAGGAATCAATCAATGAATTGAATGAATTAGATAAATATGCTAGAAGCAAAATCGATCAACGAAAGGATGTTATGGGTTACATGGCAGAGTGTTCTCGATTGGAAAAAGAAGCAGATCAAATACAACAGGTAAGTTTAATGGATATTAACCGGTTCGTTGCTTTATTTTTTATTTTTAGATTCATGTACTTTGACATTTATATTCATTTAGATACTCTTATCTAACGAACCACATTCACCTGGTGGAGAGGGCACCACTGTCTCTAATGCAGTCAATAATTTTTCTGATAGAGTTCAAACTTTATGGAATGATATTGCCTCACAAATTCAATATCCTACATATTCAATAGAGAATGTTGAAAAAGATCGAACTGGACGTACAGTAGATAGCAATAACCATATAAACGGAGCCGTGAACGCCCAAAATGAATCACTTACATCTTTGGCAAATAGTTTGAATGATTTACTAGAAACTTATCAAAATGTATTACGTCGTAAGAAGATGATCGAAGCCTATATAAATCAAGCCAATGACGTTGCTTCATGGATTCAACCTAAATTGGATGTTTTGGGAGGTATTCTTGATGATGAAACTTTAGGAGAATTATCAAATGATAAAATACACGATCTTATCGGTGAAGTCGATGATGTAGAAGCTGCCCTTCAGGCTTATCATAGTGCTTTTGGTTTCGCTAAAAGCTTGGCGAATAAACTAATTGAAGATATGATAAATGAAATTGAACAAGGTGGCGACGATATTGAAGATGTAAAAGCTGACCTTGAACTTGTTCGGGCCAAGCAACAAGAAATTGACGCATTATGGGACGGGCTACAATCTGATGTACATAAAACAAGAGATAGGTTGGATCAAGCCCTTAAAGTTGTCGATTTCAAAGAAAAAGCCAATGAATTTCTCGATAAGGTCAATGATATGTCTAGCATAATTTCAAGCACTTCAGTCGAAGACGTCACAAGTGCTGACATGAAAGATTGGCAAATCAAATTAAATAGCTTAGAACAAGGGGAACTATTCTCTTTAGTCAAACTACATGACGTAGTTCAAGGGAATTTGAAAGAAAATTATGGCGCTCTTAGTGATAAGGAATCTAAAGGGCTCGAAGGTCTTTTAAGAGAAGTTGCTAATTCTATTGGAGATCTAAAGAAAGTGATGAATAATAAGATTGATGAGGTTGAAGCATATCAATCTTCACAGATAGCTAATGCTTATATGAATCGTGTTAGTGATTTACAAAGGTGGATTGAAAATTCAATGGCAACGTTCGCGGATGCTAAACCCAGACATGGTATCATGGTAGGAAATTCTTATGAACTTAACAAAAACAATTTCGATGAATTAGGATCGATTTTTGAACAATTCACCCATGAGCTACCTGATCGTGTAGATCAACTTGAAAGTATAAGAACTGACTTTCAAGACATATCATTAAAGGATGGAATACGCGAATTGCAAGATATATTGAAATGGCAAGCGAACCTTGATCAATCTTGGGACAATTTAGATTTATCTACAGGTGAATTCAAGAACTTTATCGTAAAAACTGAAAATTGGAATGATCGACACGATTCCATATATCGTGTTGAAAATGATATTTTGGGAGGATTGGAAGATCGTATTAACGGATTAAGTAGTATAGATTATGATAATTTGGAAGCAGAAGTCAAAGAATTAGACGATAACATCAAAAGGGCTAAACCAATCCTTGACGAAGCTAATTTAAAAGCAAGTCAAATGGTTGATGATCCTGATGATTTAATTGACTTGACAAACCGTGAAAATTTTGATCATCATTACAACGAAGCAATTAATCGTCTTAATGAATTAACGTCCTCATTCCAAGTTGCTCTCACCGCAGCTCATAACGCTTCATTATTAGCAGCTTTCCGCGCAGACGCAGACCGCATAATCAGGAATTGTTACGAGGGAATTGCTATAGTAAAATCAAGACATGAAGATCTTGAGAATAGTGGATATTATGCTCTCGAGGTTGATTCTCTTGAAACAATAGTAAACGATGCTATTAAAGGATCTAAAGAAAGTGAAGCAAAGTTTGTCAAATTCGATCAACAAGTAAATGTCGATTTGAAAAAAGAGGCAGATAATCTTATTGAATTAAATCCTGAATCCAATAAAGATCGTGTGTTAAACATTTTCAGTAAAGTTACAGCTGCTTTAACACAATTTTCTGACGTTGTTGCTCTCGAACGTCGTGAAATTGAACTTTCAAGAAGAGTTCATAAACATGCTGAGGCTGCAGGTAAGATCAAGAGTTGGGTAGGTTCTTGTAAAATGGCAGTATTGAATATACAAACCGCCACACTTGATCAAGAAGACGAAATAGTAGAGTTAGAAGGAAGAGTTGGAAATTTCCAAAATTTCATTGATCAATTCAAAGATAGTAGTCATCGAGTTCTTATACCGGAAGCTGATAGCGCCGAAATTGATGCACCTCAACCAGAGGAAACCAATCCTAAAATTAAAGATTCTATACAAACACGAACAAACCGTGTGCTAGAGGATTGGTACGGACTTATAGATTTACTCGCAAATTTAAGGACAAGCCTGAATGCTTCAAAAGAAAGTCTAGAAGTATCACGTTCTATTAAAGAAATTTTAGTAGCTATTGGTCAAGTTAAAGAGAGAGTTTTGAACATTGAATCATTTATCACCGGTGAAGGTATTCCAAGATTACCGACAAAAGATGATATAGAAGGAGGAGATCGTGAACTTGATGAGATTCAAGCTGAAATTGATCATATCCTTGGACCAAGAATTGAATCTTTAGATGAAATGATAAATAATGTAACAGAAAATGATTCAGGATATATACAACAACGTCATGGAATTGCCGAAGCATTAACCAACCTTGCAAGTATAATCGATAATAAGAGGAATCAACTTAGGGATGCGCATAATATGGCATTGTTTGGTACTAAAGCCGACGTAATGAATGCTTTAATGAGCTCATTACTTGAGGTTGTTGACCTCGCAACCACGACAATGGACGGTTCCCCACTTTCATCATTAAAAACAATTGATTTACAACGACGCTCAATTGAATTGGAGTCCAAATATAACTACTATTATCCTAGAATCAATCAACAACTCGAAGAATGCAGCTGCCTTGCAGATCCATTACGAGATGATTGGCGTGTTCATGATCGGTTGAATATACTGAAAGAACAATGGGCAGAATTGATTGAAGTCGCCAACGCAAAGAAAGAAGAATTACATCAACTACTTCTCGGCGAAAAACAACCAAAGACACGGCACACGCGTTCTCATTCCCAGATTATAACAGGTATAACAATCTTTTTCATCGATTATAAGCCACGATCGTCATAATCATCATCACGCTCACTTTCTCATTCTTTGTGTTCAAGGTCGAAAGAGGGGTGTCGTTTCACCAGGAGGTGTGTCTCCATCACGAAATCCCATGTACCGACCTTCGTCTACCTCACGTATCGCACAAATTCCATCTCGCCTATCACCGAGTCCAACGCCAGGTTCACCAGGATCACCACGACGCCCGCCAATAAGACTTATACCACATAATGTTAATAATTATGTTCCGGATCCTAAAGATCAACTTGACGTTGAAGTGGCAAGAATAGTAAACGCTTGCCCCGTAAAGATTAAAGTTTCCATGGTTGAAGGTGAACCAGGAAAATATATGTTTGGTGAAGTTGAACCAAAGCTTTGTTACTGTCGTATACTGCGAAGTCGCATGGTTATGGTTCGAGTCGGAGGGGGCTGGGCAGAACTTTCAAAGTAAGTTAAATCGATTTCAATTTATTACCTGTCAAAAGGGTTGATTTGTTTTTTGTTTCGTTTCTAACATACTTGTGAACATTTTCTAATATGATATTTTTTTTTGTCGCTTATAATTTTTAATAAAGATTCCTTGTTGGTATGTACATTGTTGAAATACTGATGTAAACACGCCCTACTCAGGAATCATATATAGCATATATGATAATTTCCAACAATCTTCAAACACGTTGGAAATTCACGATGTTTATTGTTTTTCTTTTTTCTTTTTTCATTAATTTGTTGTTTACTACATATGACAATATAGATAACAATGATGTCACTCTCCAATTCATTCTGCCACAACAGAACACGCTAACCTGGAACAAAAATACATCCCCAAAGCCCGATCTTTTGTCGGATTTGACGAAACAGACTCAACAATCGGTGGAAACGAGTCCTATAGTAGTCCCAGTTTTCATGAGGCGAACCTCCGCTTCATCCCGAAGGGACACGGCCTCCGAATCGAAGGGTCAACGGGGAGCGGCCCACTGGCGTTGAAACGCATGTCTTATACCCGTAAAGTGAGTAATCAAGAAAATGAAAATGATAGATCACGTATTGGTAAACCACCAAAAAGTAGCTTGAGAAGATCAACGAGCGATGATTATTAGATGAGGGGAATTCTTTTCCTTATTGTTAATTTATTTTGTTTTTATTGCGGGTTGTGTGCGCTTTCCTTTATTTTTTGTATAATATTTAAACTTTTTTCGCTGGGTTGACAGTTTGAGGTATAAATAGGTTTTGGGGGTGGGAACAAAAATTATTTAGAGAAGGGAATATCTATATATATATATATATATTTATATTTATAAGATATATATATATCGAGAATCTTTTTTTGCGGGGGTGTTTGAAGGGAATAATCTATATATTAACAAAATCAAAATCATCTGGGATCTTCTACATCTTGGGCTTTGGGTAGGTTTGACCAACAAAAACACATATATATATTTTACATAAATTTAAAAAATGTTCTTAAATTACAATACCCACACTTCCTTATAATACACATACATAATTCATCACTATCTTTTTCAACAATTATTTTAATAATTAAATTAGAAGAGGATAATTAACAAAAAAATTTATTTTATGTATATTTTTTCTCTTTAATACTATATATATATATATATCCAACAACAACCAACAACCAACAACCAAATCAAACGTTAATCCACAGAACCAACAAAAACTTTGGATATGGGCAATAATTGTGGCGATCGTGGTATATTACTTAATCACACTGAAAGAACGAAATAATACGGACTATTGCAGGATGAAGAAGACAACATTTTTACCAACCTTTTAATATCTTCTTAGGGAATTGGAATTTATTTATATTCATATTTATTTGAGATATATCACATTTTAAATTTTAAGAGTTTTTTTTATTTTACTTTTTAATTTTTTTTTATTTATTATTATTTTTATTTTTATTTTTATTTTCTATCTTTTAACACACATCCCGCACAATATTTTCTCATAAACTTTGTAATTTTTATATTAGCAATACACCATTCATTAGTTTCGTTTGTATTAAAAGAATTCATCAAGACATTATATATATATATTTATTGATTGATTGATAAAATATATATTTGTTAATAATATTATCACATTTAAAATTAAAATATACATTACATACCGCAACTTTTGAATTTTTCTTTGGATTTTTACTTATTAAAAAAAACGCTTGACGTTTGCTCATAAATAAAGTATGAAATAATTAAACGCAATAGATCCGGATGAAACCTAATTCTTGCATAGAAAAATTTCGATGTTGAGAAGGTTTCAATTTTCCCTTCAATAAAAATAATAAAAAATAATATGAATGGTTATCATGGATCCTAAAATTAATTAATGAAAATGACAGTTTTTCCATATTAAAATTGTCTATCACGTGAGTGAAGCATAATGGACATTCGTTATATCACGTGGTGATAAAATCAAATGTCGATCTTTTTATATTGTGTAACGTTCGATTTCAATTGATTTAAAAGATCGATAATATTTCAATAACTAATAGCCCTGTTCAGTTCTAGATCGGATTGTTCGGATCGGAAAAAAAAGTAACCAATCAAATCATAGTTACAATTGAGCACGATTTTTGATCGACCGGATTGATCGTTATATTACGACTGGCTAACTTTTACCATGAATCGCAAACAACAAATTCAAAATGTATTATTGTTAAAAATCTTTCTAGATGAGCTTGAAGAAGAGAAACTTGAAGAAGAGGAGGAACTTCAAGTGAGGAAGAAGAGAGTATTATTTTAAAGCTACTTTAGTACAACAATTAACTACACGATATCTAAAGTCACGAATACACTATATAGCAAAATCAAAGCATTGGTGGCGAAATGTTCTTCCATCCTATGATCCTGTTTGATTTAAAAAACTCTTGCGAATATTTTCACATCATTTTCAACAATTAGCAGATCTTATACGCCACCATCCTGTATTTTTATCACAAGGAAATAAACCTCAAATTTGTATTGAATTTCAATTAGCTGTACTCCTTTGTCGACTTGGATCTACTGGGAGTTTATTTAAACATTGTTCAAGATTTGGAATAGGAGAAGGGACAGTAATTCTTTATACTAAATGTATTATTCAAGCAATCATATCACAAAAAAAACTCTTTGTCAAGTGGCCTGTTTTAGAAGATCGTAAAAAAGTTCATGAGGGATTTGAAAATTTGGGAGGACTTAAGAATGTAATTGGAGCAGTTGATAGAACATATATTCCTATGAGAAATGCTCCAACTAAGGATTCAGAAGTTTATTTTACTCGAAAAAAACGTTATGCTATTCATTGTCAAGGTATTATAAATAATAGGGATATTTTTACTAGCTTTGATGTAGGTTGGCCAGGTTCTGTACATGATGCTCAAGTTTTTAGAAATTCTTCTTTCTATAAAAATTATCCTAATCTTATCCAAGAAGATGATTACCTTCTAGGAGATTCAGCTTATCCAATTTCACCCTTTTTAATTCCACCTTTTAAAGATCCAGGTACTCAAAAGCAAAAAGAATTTAATCAATTTCATTCACGTCATCGAGTTGTAGTAGAAAATTCTTTTGGGAGATTGAAAGCAAGGTTTAAAGCATTAAAAGACCTTGATATTAAAACAGTTAAAATGGGAGTTTTATTAACGTGTTGTGCAATAATTTTGCA